GAGGCTTGAAGAAGATTACTATTTCCAACAATCCCAGCTTGCTTTTTACAGGGAAGTGAAGACATATTTCTCCCATCAAGCATTTGGGGGACTACTGAATATATTATGGATGGAATTTGGGGGGGGGGGGATGTTTAGCTTTTAAATGTAATTTTAATTTTATTTTAACTCTTGTGTTCATGGCACAAATATTTAATTGTTTATGATGTTTGTATTTGCTGTGTTTTTAAATTTTATTGGGTTGTGTCATGTTATGGTGAGCTGTCTTGAGTTCCTATAGGGAGAAAGGCGGGGTAGGAATAAAGTGAATACATAATGAATAGACAAAAGAGGTTCCATATTACTTCAAATTAAATTTTTGACCTGGCATAATTAAGGCATCCAATTTTTACCTCATCCTCATCTATCTTCTAAAACAGTGGTTCTCAACTTGTAGGTCCTCAATTGTTTTGGCCTTCAACTTCCAGAAATCCTAACAGCTGGCAAACTGGCTGGGATTTCTGGGAGCTATAGGCCAAAACCCCTGGGGGCCCACAGATTGAGAACCACTACTGTAAAAGTTATGTGTCTCCTTGCCAAGCAGTTTTCTTGTCTTTGCCTTTCTTTAAGGGTGTTACTTGCCCAAGAGGTGGTCCAATGGGCTTCCATTATCAAACTATGATATCTCACTTTTTGTATACACCTAATACCTTGGTGTGTACAATTCCTCCTGAATGAGATCATAAGCAAGCTTCAGTTGGGTTGTTGTAGGTTTTTTAGGCTATATGGCCATGTTCTAGAAGCATTCTCTCCTGACGTTTCGCCTGGCATATATGGTAAGCATCTCAGAGATTGTGAGGTGACCTCACAACCTCTGAGAATGCTTGCCATAGATGCAGGCAAAACGTCAGGAGAGGATCCTTCTAGAATATGGCCATATAGCCCGAAAAACCTACAACAACCCAGTGATTCCAGCCATGAAAGCCTTCGACAAGTTTCAGCTGGCCTGTAGGAGCCCATCGTGAGAGCTCTGTCCTTTCTGGTTCCTTGSCTGAGAGAAGACCTCTCAGGGTTTGCAGTGGCTTCATTGCAGGAGAAGATAAAGCAACCTAGGCTAAGAATGCGCGCGTGGGAGTGCCTACACGTATATGCATCGCTCGTCTGAACCTCACACACCGATCCCCTGGGCTGCTTTCCGAAACCCATCCAGATCCTAAGCTCTCCAGATCTCAATGGAGGATTTTTGGAAGGAGGATGAATTGTCTCTATGCTTCCACACGCAGCCTCCTCCCTGCTTCTCTCCTTTTCTTGCTTCTGCTTTGAAAGAAAACCCAAGGAGCGACCAATGCATTTCTCAGCCCACCTCCCCCCCCCTCCTCTCTCCCAACACGCGCCCTTCCCCCGGCCGGGATCTAAGGCCCAAGCAGACCCCGCTTGCTTTGAAAGTCTTGTTTGTCAGAGCAGGCATCCTCCCCCACTTCCCGGCTTCGCCTCCGAGAGATGAAGTCTTTGAAGATGGCCAACTTCGTGTCAATAAGTGGTCCCCCCCCCCATCCCCATCCCCACCCCCTCCCCGCTCCCGCCCCTTTGAGCCGCAGTCAGATGGGAAAAGCCTGGCTTGCCCATTGCCATAGAAATCTTAACGCACCATGAAGATTGTCCAAGCGCCCAGCCTTCCGTTTCTGGCCCAAATTACTTTGAAGTGGCGCAAGGCGGGCAGTGGCCAATTTCAACACTATAGGCTCCAGAGAGAGAGAGAGAGAGAGAAGGAGAGCAGGAGAAAGAGAGAGGGGGAAGGGGCAGCCACTAGGAACGTGAACACTTGTTTTTGGATCTACTTCGTCGTTTTGTCACCTTTCCTTTCGGAGGAAAGGGGGATGTGCTTCTGTTGCACTCTTTCCCACCAGAAATAATATTCCTGGCCAGTACTTTCCTTCTCTTTCGATCCCACACATCATACCCTGAATCAATGCCCTCAATTTCCTCTCCTGTTTCAACGTTGCCTCCCCAAAGTGCGAGGATTCCTTTGCTTTGATGTTTGGATCCGGCACCCATAGAAAAAGTGCTGGGAGCAATGGTCCTTTCTAAAAGGAGAAGGAGCCAGAGGAGGGTTGCTAGTCCTTATCATCATTATTTATTTATTTTTGGTCGTGTCAGGAGCGACTTGAGAAACTGCAAGTCGCTTCTGGTGTGAGAAAATTGGTCGTCTGCAAGGACGTTGTCCAGGGAACGTCTGGATGTTTTGATGTTTTACCATCCTTGTAAGAGGCCTCTCTCATGTCCCCGCATGGGGAGCTGGAGCTGACAGAGGGAGCTCATCCCCATTCTCCCCATATTCGAACCTCTGACCTGTCAGTCTTCAGTCCTGCCTTCAGAAGGGTTTAACCCACTGCGCTACCGGGGGCTCCTGACCTTATCATTAACACACACACACACAAAGAGGAAGTTTCTGCAATTCTTTTCACCAACTAGACAAATCCCAATTATTTCATCTATTTCAATGATGCCATGCCCCCTCGATATCCACTGAGGTTTGGTTCCAGGACCATTTGTGGATACCAAAATCCGTGGATGCTAAAGACCCGTTCTATATAGAGGCATAATGAAATGTTGTCCCATATATAAAATAAGCACAAGGTTCACTCTTTTGAATTCGTATAAATATTTTTAAGGTAAGTGTGGTTGAATCCATGGATGCAGAATCTGTGGCTAGGAGGCCCCATTGTAATATATGAAGAGTTCAGTCTCTTGCTATAATAGGTTGTTGTGAGTTTTCTGGGCTATCTGGCCATGTTCCAGAAGCATTCACTCCTGGCATTCATTAAATCACTACTGACCGAGAGGTCACAAGTTTGAAGGCAGCCCGGGTCGGAGTAAGCTCCCGACTATTAATAGTCTAGCTTGCTGTTGACCTATGCAGCCCGAAAGACAGTTGGATCTGTCAAGTAGGAAATTTAGGTACCGCTTTATGTAAGGAGACTAATTTAATTGGTTTAAGACACCAAAAACCTTCCAGCAGTATGCAGAAGAATGAGGAGGTACTCCATCAAAGGCCCGGGTGTCACAAGTGGATGCGGCACTTCCCCCTACGACATACCCTCATGAAGCAAAAAAAGCTGGAGTGTTAAATTGCCTCTGTGTCTGTCTATATATATTGTATGTCTAAACGGCATTGTGCACTGTAATCTGCCCTGAGTCCCCTGCGGGATGAGAAGGGCGAAATATAAATACTGTAAATAAATAAATAAATCTTGCTATGATGTTTGGTGCTTATTTATGTAGTGCTTAGTAGAAAATAGCCATGCAGAACCTCTGTCCTAATTATAATTTAAATTCATATCAGAAAGGCTGCAGGAAGAGCTCCTTGAGATCAATCACGTGAGCCAGGCTGACCACATCTGACATGCTGCAGATCAAGCCTTTCCTTGGAAAGGTTTTATCAGTGCTGGCAACTTCCTTCCTCTGCCATTTTCAAGGTTCCGGCCTGCAGAAATAGACCTGCTTCCCAATATTATGGTACCTCTTTAAATCCCTCAATTTAGAGAGGGGAGATCAGCAGTTCAGCTTGTGTTGCACACTACACAGACCAAAACCTGTAGCTTCCAGCAGTTTTCTAGCATACCTGTGTCTGGTCCACACACAGGTGCCTAAATGATCTTGTTACTTCCTTAAGACCAAAGCAGATCTTTTATCTCACACCAGAAGCGACTTGTAGTTTCTCAAGCAGCTCCTGAAGCAAGGGGGGAAAAATCCATAAATATTCCCAGTTATCCAGTTCTATTAGTCTACCTAGGTCAGTATATCATTACTGTCATTACTGGATTCAAATTGACACTATCTGGATCAATTAGGGGGAATATATATAAAATGTTTTATAGATGTTATATCACCCCAGCAAATTGGCAAAAATAGATAAATCACAACAAGGTAGTAGCTGGAGATGTAGGAAACAGAAAAGGACATGCTTCCATATGTGGTGGACCTGTGAGACCACACAGGCATTTTGGGATAAGGTAACTAAAGGAACAAATAAAATGGTACATAATAAGATTTTTTAAAGCCCAGTTGTGTCTATTAGGTTTACATGGAGAAAACAATATTCAGAAGGGCAAAGAAATATACCCATATAGCTTTGCTGCAGCAAGATTAACCATAGCCAAAGACTGGAAAAGGGGGGGGGGGGTTAAAGGATTGGAGGAAAGAATGAGGAAATATATGCTAATGGCCAAATTAACTAATATTAGGAGGAACAAAAGTAATGAGGACTTTTGGGAAAAGTGGAAGTTGGCCATGGCATATCTGAGTGGAGAGTCAGTGACATAGAGGAGTACCATTAGGAAATTAAGGATTACTATTAATAAGGCTAGATAAAGTCGCTTAAAGGCTCCATAGTGCTTCAGTGTTTGAAGTCATGATGAAGGGTGCACAGGAGTGGTGAAGAGATTTTATTTTGTGTGGGATAGGGGTGTCAGTTTGAATGTTGTTTGAATGTTATAGTGAACTCTTATATTAATAAAAACAAAATCACAAAAAATAAAAAATAAAAATAAAATAAATAAATCACAGAAAAGGGAAAAAAGACCAAAGTAGATCCATTGGCTCAACATATTGACTTAATACTTAATAGATCTACTCTAGGATTACATGCTATAAGTATGTTTAGTTTTGTCAAACCCTTGCATGTAAGGTGAAATATGGCCCTACTTCTCAGTAAAGAACTGTGCCAACATAAGAGTTAAAATCTGCTAGCCATTTTCTTGCTACTAAGTAGGTAGACTAACTTTGAGTCTCACTGTAGGTCAAATAAAATAATCTGTGGCCCATTTTTCCTACAGACCAACAAACTGAGTATCACGGGAATATTTTTTTGGTATCAGAATTCTTTGTTTACAAATATTTTTCTTCCATAGAGGGGAACTCACATCACATGGATGTGGCACATGAAATGGTGATCTGTGCTCCACATCTTTACCCCCACCCCCTGTGCGTGCACACATACAGATAACAAAATATACATCAGATATAAGAAGAATATTTTTATTTCACTTTGACCCTTCTTGCTTTCTTGTGGCCATGTTTACAGATATGAAGGAGGTATTGTATGTTTAAAAAAATGAGATAAAAGCCATGGCAGAGTCTCTACTCTGGGCACCTCCAAACAATGAACACCAAAACTTGCAAGTAAATTCACTCAAGTCAAGTACTTCCAAGTGCATGTATTTCTTTGAAGATGTTTCACATTAAACAAAACAGGAGAGGTGGATAGTGCAATCTATTTTGTAGAGAGGAGGGCAGGAGAAGAACATGTATCAATTAAACTATTTCCCCTTTAAAACAACAACTTGGCAAAGCATACATTATTTACCCTTTTAGAATTCATGGCTGGGATTCTGTTGCTTAATCCCAAATAGAGTAGATTATTTCAATTAATTATTGAAAGATAAGTCAACACATAGGTAGGTAAAGGAAAAGGTTTCCCTTGACATTAAAGTCTAGTTGTGTCCAATTTTGGGGTGGTGGTACTCATCTCCATATCTAAGCAGAAGAGCCGGCAGTTGTTCACCTCAAAGCTGCCGATCTACTCACATTTGCATGTTTTCGAACTGCTAGGTTGGCAGAAGCTAGGGCTAACAGTGGGAGCTCATCCCATTCTCCAGATTCGAACCGCCAACCTTTTGGTCAGCAAGTTCAACTGGGGTAGTACCTATTACTTTACTCACATTTGTATATTTTCAAACTGCTAGGTTGGCAGAAGCTGGAGCTAACAGCAGGAGCTCATCCCATTCTACAGACCATCCACCTTTCACTTAGCAAGTTTAGCAGCTCAGAGCTTTAACCAGCTGCACCACCGAGGGCTGATAGGTACATTTTATGAATTCAATGGGTCTACTTTAGGTAGGACTAAACACAGAATTTAGGCTTGTGTTTTTACATGACTGTATTTTCCCCCTCATCATTTGAATGGGTTTTGTACAAGGAATGAAAAAGAAACAAAACAATTTAAACCTGTTTTGTATTTCAAGTTCTCATTTATATATTTATAGATATAGTGGATAAAAGAAATGTCTTTTCCCCCCTGTCGTATAACAGGATGATCGGGACATGTAAAGGCTTCCAGATGAGACAGCACCATGCACTGTACTAAGAAACATCTCTATAAACTATATTGAATCACCAACACACTGCACAGGAGACATGCAGGAAGGACCTGTTTTTCACATTACATTATTCATTCAAGTAACCTGAAAATGAGAATGACTTCCCCCGCCGACCCCGAAAAGCAACCACAGAATGTATAGACAACCTATCACCAAAATTAATAATAATTTTCTTTGGTGTGCTCTGTACTTGGCAAACAGAAAAGCATGAGGGAAATGGAGGAGGAGGGGGAGGTCTCACATCTAAAAATGAAAAAAATAAATAAAATTCAGTTGTACAAAATAAATCACTTCCACATACAATTTATAAAGATGACAAGACTACGTATCACAACACAGACTGTAAAAAAATCCCCATACATTTCTACAAGTTCTGGGAATAGACAGGCAACCAGTTACATATTCAGTGGTCTCTGAGGATAACTTAGTGGCCTTAAGGTAATCTGTAAAGTTTTTATGATAAACCAGCATTTTGCATGTGACATATGTTGCACTGACTGCATCAGAAATGGTCATGTTTGCATGTCCTCTCTCTTTAGTCTCTTGGCAGATCTACTGCGCAGTTCCCCTTGCCATACTGTTTCATTGTATACATTTATGACAAGTTATCTCCCTTAAGGAAACCAAAATAAAACCACAAGACACTTTGGTCATTGGTACATTGCATACAAAACAGGGTGTCAGAAACTGGCCTGGGCAGGCGGGATATAGAAGTCATTTTTAAAACCATTTGTATACATGAAGGGTGTAAAAGTGGAAGAGTAAAAATAATACCTTCCAGAGAATATGTGTCACCCCAGCATCAAGAGGGAAGCTTTGACACCACAGCTGTGAAGTTCACACAACACTTTGACCTAACGCTAGAGCTGGGCTTCATTCCCAAATATTGCGTACTCAGAAATCCAATTTACTCTGATTCAATGTGACTCCTTCATAAGGAAGATGTGGCCTTTTGCTACACATCTCACTAGACCGATATTTTCATTTATGTTTATGGGGGGAAAACATGTATCACAATCTCACTTGGAAATGATATTTAAGTCAGTTGACCAAATGCATTCAGTATACCATAAATTCATGTTTTTTTACCATGTCAGAAGCAACTTGAGAAACTGCAAGTCATTTCTGGTGTGAGAGAGTTGGTTGTCTGCAGGGACTTTTGCCCAGGGGACTTCTGGATGTTTGACCATCCTGTGGGAGGCTTCTCTCTTGTCCCCCTCATGTCAATATTGGTGCAGCATTAGTATTGACACACAGAAGCTGCTATTATTTTTTCATTCAGCTCAAAGGTTGGGATATTTTTTTAAAAAAAAGTTAGATTAAAACAATTGAGACATCTAAGATTGAAGTGGCCTTGCTTTTAAGAAACATGTATAGTTTAGGTGGGCAAAAGAAAGACTATTCAAGAGGTGTTTTTTGTGTGTGTGTGAAAATCCCATTCTGCTTGTTCTATCACCTCCCAAGTTCATTTAGTTGGAATTGAGCTCCATTTAAAACAATGGACCCATCTTCCAAGTTAGCATATTAATATAGCCTTGATCTGTAAGGGTGCACACTAGTTTGGACATGGGTTTAATGTGATGCTGTCTGTAACTCAAATACCATGTTTACATTTTCAGTTGGGGAAAAAACAAATGCAAAGGCAGTGCACTCACTGTCCATATACATTCTTATGCATATACAGTTTTTGGATAGAAATAATCAGATGGTAGCTTCCTAGGTGGTCATGATGGGGCAGAGGCTTAGAAAAAGAATGGGCAAATTTGGGCCCTCCAAGTTTGCCCATGCAAACTCCCACAATTCCCAACAGCCTCAGGCTGCTGAGGTGGGAAAGGAAGGTGTTGAGGGGGGAAAGGAAGGGGCCTGAGGCTGTGGAAGTTGAAGTCCAAAACACCTGGAGGGTCCAAGTTTGCCCATGCCTGTCTTCAGGCCCTTCCACACAGTCCCATATCCCAGAATATCAAGGCAGAGAATCCCACATGATCTGCTTTGAACTGGGTTATCTAAGTCCACACACAGATAATGTGGGATTTTCTGCCTTGATATTCTGGGATATGGGGCTGTCTGGAAGCGCCCAGAGAAGGACGTACCTTTCAAGAAATCTGCAGACTAGCTTACAAGGATGACACCTGGCATAGATAGAGAAGGCCCATTATTTTTCTAATTACATTCACAAGCCATATTTATTGGCCTTGTTTTGGGGCATACAATTGCAATCAATGGTCGAATGCATGAACTACAGATTGAGCGATGCACACAGAGGGCCCTTCCAAGCAGCCCTATATCCCAGAATATCAAGTCGGAAAATCCCATATTATCTGAGTATGAATTTAGGGCCCTTCCACACAGCCCTATATCCCAAAATATCAAGACAGAAAATCCCACAATATCTGCTTTGAACTGGGTTGTGTGGACTCAGATAATGAGTGTGGACTCAGATAATGTGGGATTTTCTGCCTTGATATTCTGGGATAGAGGGCTGTGTGGAAGGGCCCTTAAAATATCCCTTTGCCCCCTTCCTTGCAGTTTGGGGAGAGAGAGAGAAAGGTGGAAGGGCCACTTTGACTGTCCGGCTTGGTTTGTGTCCTTTTCCTTCATCAAACACAGCTTCCAAAGAGGCAAGTCCAATGTCTTAATTAAATTAGTTACATGTACAAACACCATAGGGTTTCATAGATAAAGGAATAAATAGCCCAAGTGAACCAAGATGGCACCGGATGCCATCCCCGCAGTCAGTTCTACCTCCTTCCCAGTCCTAACGAATCGTCCTGGCCTCAGAGTGCCTATAAGTGTCTTCTTCCTCCTCGTCTTCCTCCTCCTCGTCTTCTTCTTCCTCCTCCTCCTCCTCGGAGGTGGCGTTGCTGGAAGGCGTGTGGAGGTGGTTGGGCGCCCCTCCGGCCTGGCAGACGTACCACTCGTTGAGGTTGGTGACCGGTGGGGAGGAGAGGCTGGCCGGGCGCTGGAGCGGGGAGAGCGCGGCCCCCAGGGGCGTCCCCGTGGGCTGGTAGCCGTGCGAGCCCAGCGTGGGCGAGGGCGGCGGGGACTTGCAGTGGATCTTCATGTGCTTCCGCAGGGAGCTGGGGTGCGTGTAGGACTTGTCGCAGCCCCGCACCTTGCAGAAGTAGGGCTTGTCACTGGTGTGGACGTGGGAGTGCTTCTTCCTGTCGCTGCTGTTGGCAAACTTCCTGTCGCAGCCATCAAACTCGCACTTGAAAGGCTTCTCCCCTGAAAGAGAGAGAGAGGGAGAGAAAAAACAGCCGTCGTGGGACCTCCTCGGCAACAGGAAGGAAGGAACCCCAAGTCTTCGTATTTACATGTTAAACCAAACACAGAAGTGGGGAGGGAAGGAGAACAAGAGCTCGGAAAGACTGGCCTTTCCCTCTTAAACCTTATCACACTAGAGAATGAATCCACTTAAAATCCGGTTTCTGCCTCCTGCAGAATTCTGGGTTTGTAGTTTAGGGAGGAGCCTTTAACAACCTCACTAAACTACAAACTCCAGAATTCTGCAGGAGGCAGAAACCGAATTTTAAGTGGATTCGTTCTCTAGTATGATGAAGTATAAGGTTGGGTTGCTGTGAGTTTTCCGGGTTGCTGTGAGTTTTCCCAGTGATTCCGGCCATGAAAGCCATATAGAACAAGTTTGCTTCGGCCTCATTTCTCCCCTCTCTTCTTATCTAGTCTTATTTTCCAGAATAATCACCATCATAATGACAACGCCAAACAAACAAACAAACAAACAAACAAAAACACAAAACAAAACATAGCAATAAAATTTCATATGTTGAGATCCGGGGTCTCAAGTGTGATAAGAAGCACACTTTTCAGATAAACAACAAACACAATAGGTCACACTCCTTCTACACTGCCATATAATCCAGATGATCAAGGTAGATAGTCCATATTATCTGCTTTGAACTGGATTAATAAATTTTGAACTGGATTATATAAATCTACAGTGCCACATAATCCAGGCCCCTTCCACACAGCTGAATAAAATTCCATATTTTCTGCTTTGAACAGGAATATATGGAAGCGTGGAGTCAGATAACCCAGTACAAAGCAGATATTGTAGGATTTTCTACCTTAATATTCTGGGTGATATGGCTGTGTGGAAGGGCATCCAGTTGAAAGCAGATCATCTGGATTTTATAAGGAAGTGTAGTAGAAGGGGCCTCAGAGAACCACATCCAACACATATTTCTCCTTATTCCATATTTATCTCGAAAAGGAATGGAGGAGTAGATCAACATAGAAGCTGCCATGGAAATACAGAGTCTGGGCCCTTCCACACAACCCTATATCCCAGAATATCAAGGTAGAAAATCTCACAATATCTCAGATAATCTGGGATGTATTGCCGTGATATTCTGGGATATAGGACTGTGTGGAAGGTCCCCTGGTCTCCAGAGGAATCTGAGTTGTTCTAATTCCTTTCCAGTAGTTCACAATATGGGTCTTCTTTTTTTCAAGAATACCACTAACACCTGTTTAAACATATCCCTCCCCCTTTCCTCCTTTCCTTTCCTCTTTTATGTTTTCAATAGACTTCACTCTCAGCTTCCCCCCCTCTCTGAATCTTTCTCCTTCACCCTCCTATGTCTACTTTGGGCCCTTCCACCCAGCCCTATATCCCAGAATATCAAGGCAGAAAATCCCACAATATCTGCTTTGAGCTGGGCTATCTGAATCCACACTCAGATAATATGGGATTTTCTGCCTTGATATCTTGGGATATAGGCCTGTGTGGAAGGGCCATTTGTAACCACTTGCAGATTAGAGCCGAAACTATCCATTGGGAAAGGTTCTCTAAAGAAAGGCAAGGCAAGGTCCGCATTGTCTGTGGAATTGTGGCCACCTCACGGGTTTCATCGCGTTTTCTTAGGCGAGGAATTCTCAGAGAGGGTTTGACCAGGTCCTTCCTCTTGAAATATATCCGCTTCCCACTCCCTAGGGCCAGTTTATGGCGAGGAACCTTTCCCGGTTCAAACTCCAGGGCTCTCGTTTGGACGCCAGGCCTCTGGGGCTGGCCTACCTTGAAGCCTCACTGATGGCCCTTCCACACAAGCCTATATCCCAGAATATCAAGGCAGAAAATCCCACATTATCTGAGTGTGGACTCAGATAACCCACTTCAAAGCAGATATTGTGGGCTTTTCTGCCTTGATATTCTGGCTGTGTGGAAGAGCCCTGGCTCTGAGGCAGAAAGCAAGATCCCGGCTTGTTGTAACACCGAGGCCTGCCTCCCTTGCCAGCCAGAGGGCTTTCTCTGGCCCTGTTGTTGTTGTGGTTGCTAAGGCACAGGCCAGCAAAATGGCTCTTCCATTCAAAATGGCTCTTCCATCATAATAATAATAATAATAATAATAATAATAATAATAATAATAATAATAATAATAATAATAATAATAATAAGTGGCTAGCCAGATACGAAATCTGCACTCCCCATTGTTTTGCTTAAAATGCAATATCAGTATCAAGGCTCCCACCCGTGCTTTAATTCAAACGCGCTCGTTCACAAGTGCTCCATTCAGCTCCATGTTATGCAGGTTGACTCAAAAGTAATCCCTACCTTAGCCTTCGATAAGGATCGCACTCTTCCCAATTTTAACTATGGTTGGAAACGGGATTCTCTGCTCTCCGGGCTACTATATTAATTTGGGGAAAGCAGCGTCTTCTTAAGTTACAGAATCTATTTTCTTAAGCATCCTAAAAGCAACAGAACCTGTCACCATGGAAGCTAAACCGGGTCAGCTCTGGTTAGCAGTCGGATGGGGGACTGCCCAGGAATACCAGGTGCTGCAGACCATGTTTCTGAAGAAAGAATCCTCCTAAACCCGTCGTTGAGTATCCCTTGCCTAAGAAAACCCTATGAAGCTCACCATATGAAGACATATACGCACACACATCTCCCTTTCTTCCAGTGGCTGTGCTTGGTGGTCGAACCCAGACATGGGCCAACTTGGGCCCTCCCTTCAGGTGTTTTGGACTCCAACTCCCACCATTCCTAACAGCCTCAGGCCCCTTCCTTTTCCCCCTCAACCGCTTAAGCGACTGAGGGGGAAAAGGAAATGGCCTGAGGCTGTTAGGAATGGTGAGAGTTGGAGCCCAAAACATCTGGAGGGAGGGCCCAAGTTGCCCCACGCCTGGTTTAACCCTTCCCCACTCCGCCCGTGTCTCCTTCCAGGCCGAAAGCCCTGGGGCGCGACACAGACGGCTCGGAGGCAGCGCCCGCCCCACGCGTGGCATCGATCGGGAGATGTGCCTTTGGCTTCCTCCAAAGCCCTGCGAGCATGAATGCGCCCCGAGACACACATCCTCTGCCCACAGCTCCAGGCCACGCCGGATTCTCCCCCGGGTGATACACTGAGGGGGGGGAGGGATTGCCTTTCTTCGCCGGAGATTTTAAGTCACGAGGGGAGAAAGAAAAATCCAGCTCGCGTTTGGATTTACATCTGCTCCTTGGGGCCTAGGCGAGAAAGTCCAAGGCCCTATCTTCACTGCAGTTCAATGCATTCTGAAATTACATTCTACTAGCTGTCCCCTGCCATGGGTTGCTGTGGCCCAGTCTGTGTATATATGTGTGGTTTTGCGCATGCGTTGTATTTTTTTTTTTAAAAAATGGCTTTTAAAGTCTCTTCTGTTGTGTTTTTCAGTGTTTTTATGAGTGATGGACACTTATTGGCCTCATACGTGTATTGTGTCCAAGTTTTGTGTAAATTCGTCCAGTAGTTTTTGAGTTATGTTAATTCCACAAACGAACATTACATTTTTATTTATATAGATAGATAATAGGGTAGATGGGGCCTTTGGTAGTGGTTAAAACGAGTGTTGGTTCGAGGCTTCAGAATGAATATTGACTGCACTGAACTGGAGCATATGAGTTTACACTGCCATATAATCCAGTTCAATGCAGTTAATCGACTACTGGATGGTTCTGTATTAGAAACTAGAGCTGATGTGGTCTATCCAATGCAATTTTCTGAGTCAGCAGCCCAAATAACCAGACCGAATCTAGAGTTTACCAAAAATTGATTCCTAACCCTTTTGGTACTAATTTTGTAGTCCCTGGTCAACATAAGGTTGAGAACCACTGCTCTAAACAGATTTTTTTTCAGTGTCAGGAGCAACTCGAGAAAGTTGCTTCTCTTGTGAGAGAATTGGCTGTCTGCAAGGGGGGCACCCGGATGTTTTAAAGCTGGAGCTGAAAGACGGGAGCTCAGCCCACTCCCAGTCCTGCCGGCACAAAGGTTTAACCCATTGTGCTACCAAGGACTCTAAGACGATGGAAATAATTCTTTGGACAGAAGCTAGCCTGGGGTGGGGTTGGAGGGGGCGGGGGTCAGAGATGACTTTCTCCCTCAGCTTGACCTGTGGGCCGAGCCTTAAGCAAGCAGAGATTCTTGAGAGCTGGAAGGCCGACTTCTGTGTGCCTGCAATCAATTTATAGCGAGGGACTCCATTAATTTCTCAAGGTTTTCTTAGGCAAGGAAAACTCAGAGGTAGTTTGGCCAATGGTCAGTCCCTTGCTCTGACACAGGGATACTCAGATGGCCCAAATATTGCAAGGGGGAACGTCCCTATACGGGTTTGGTTCAGGGATGTTTTGAGCCAGTTTTGGGGTCCACAGAACCCCTCCTCTGAGCATAAGGCCCTGCCTCTGTTATCGATGGTGGCAGTAAACATTCTCAGAGGGACGGAAAGAAATGGGGCCCTTTCTCTTCTTAAGCAAACCACTGATTTCCGGGAGACCCCCCCCCCCCCCCCCATGTAAGCCTGGCTCCCTCCTTGGCTCCAGCGCACCTTCTCTTCGCAACAAACACGCCATAAATCAGGAAAACAATTAGGGGAAGCCCCCCGCCTGCCTCCCCTCCCCTATAAACAGCCTCCGGTGGATAATATCTGTCTCTCCGCGCCACTATAAATCCCGGCTGCCTTTTAAGCCGAGCCAAAAGGCCGGCTGCAAATCAAAACCGAGCTGTAAAAAATACGGCGCCCTGAACAAAACTCCCTCGCCGCCTCCTGCCACAAAAGCTCACCCGCCTGGCTTGACTTTCCCACTCGCTCGCTTACATTCCCTTCCTTCCTTCCTTCTTTCCTTCCTTCATTCCTTCCTTCCTTCCTTCCTTCCTTCCTTCCTTCCTTCCTTCCTTCCCTTCCTTCCTTCCTTCCAGAGAACAGCAGCAGCAACAAAAAGTAGAAAGGGCTTGACCCCATGTGAAGACCCGCTCCCTCCATTATCTATCATCCAAATCAGTTAGGGATTCCATTGCAAGACTGCGCCCTCGGGTTCCTTCATATTCAACCAAAGAGGGAGGGAGAGAGGGGGAAGAAGTCAGGAAGGAAGGAAGGAAGGAAGGAAGGCTTTGCTCAGAAGAATCCTTCTTCTGGGTTTCCAACTGTTCTGCTTTGGGATAACCACAACCTGCCTGCCGAAGATTCCCCCCAGGCAGCAACCAGCCGGGCTTTGAAGTTGCAAGGCCATTCAATGCTAATCAAGGTGGTCAATTGCAACATTCACACTTGCCTCAAGCAGACAAAAGTACTTCCTCCCACCCTGGACATTATTCCACAGATATAGAAACCTCACTAGTTTCCAACAGACCTCACAACCTCTGAGGCTGCCTGCCATAGATGTGGGCGAAACGTCAGGAGAGAATGCTTCTGGAACATAACCCTACAGCCCGGAAAACTCATAAACAACCAAATCCTGGGAAGCTGCCTTGCCCTTCCGCTCCACGACTGCAGGTGGCGCTGTGGGCGGGATCACGGGGCCTCGACTAGACCAAAACAAACACGCGGAGCCGTGTCCACGGAGAAACTGGCTCGCTCGAGTTGGCATCACCCGCGAAATCGAAATTACTTATTCATGACCGAAAATCACATGTTTCAGCGTACGTATCGGAAGCAGGAAAGGAAAGGGGGAGAAGGAGAAGGGGAAGGAGTCCGGAAATTATCGTGGAGGAGGAAAGGAAGAAGCGAAGGAACCAGTCCAGAACTGCTGGTGGAGGAGAGAAAGAAGTGCGGGGAGGAGGGAGAGAAGGGAAGGAGGAAGGGAGGGAGGAGGCGAAAGAAAGGATAGAGCCTGAGCTATTCCGGAAGGAAGGGGGAAAGGAAAGTCACGGAAGGAAGGAGAGTGCGTCCCACCTGTGTGCGTCCTCTTGTGGATCTTGAGGTTCTCGGAGCGGGCGAAGACCTTTCCGCAGCCGGGGAAGGGGCAAGGGAAGGGCTTCTCTCCCGTGTGGACGCGGATGTGGTTGATGAGCTTGTACTTGGCCTTGAAGGGCTTCCCCTCGCGGGGGCACTCCTGCCAGAGGCACACGTGGCTGCTCTGCTCGGGGCCGCCCACGTGCTCCACCGTGACGTGGGTGACCAGCTCGTGCATGGTGCTGAAGGTCTTGTTGCAGGACTTCTTGGGCGGCGGAGAGGGGCCTTCGGGCTCGACCCACTTGCAGATCAGCTCCTGCTTGATGGGCTGCCGCATGTAGCGCAGGAAGGCGGCGGCGGAGGCTGTGGCGGAGGCGGGGGGGTGGTGGTGGGGCTGGTGGTGCTGGTGGGAGGGCGCGTGGGAGTGCTGCTGCTGCTGCTGTTGCAGAGCTGCCGCGGCGGCCAAGTTGACCGGATAGGCATAAGGAGAAGCTTCGGAGGCTGCTGCAGAGGAGGGTCGGAAGGGCTCGACGCGGCCGTAAAACTCTGCCGCTGCTGCTGCCGCCGCCGCTGCCACCGCCAGCCCCAGGCGCATCTGCCCGTTGAGCGGCGGCGGGTGGGGCCCACTCGGGGCGCCCGTGGGGTGCTCGTGGAGGCCCGGGAAGGCGGCCGAAGGGGGATCCCCGCCGCCCCCGTAGGAGGAGGAGATGAACATGGGAGAGCTCGCCGCTGCCGAGTAAGGGTTGCTGTTGCCAACTCCGAGGGAGTGCGAGGAAGAAGAAGAAGACGCGAAGGAGGCTTCGGGGCTGAGCCGGAGCGCCCCCGCGGCCACGTGTTCGGGCCCGAAAGGCGCCGAGGAGCCCAAGTCTCCCGGGAGCAAGGCCTGGAAGCCGCCTCCGCCGCCGCGCAAGCCGGGGCTCCTCTTGCAGCTCAGCGCGGGCTCCATGGCGCCATGCAGCCGGGCGGGGGCGGCCCGGGCTTGGGCCAGCGCCGCGGGGGCCCCTCCGGCCTTCCTCCTCCTCCTTTTCCTCTTCCTCCCTTCCGCCTCCTCCTCCTCCTCCTCCTCCTCCTCCTCCTTTCCGCTGCCAAACATGGAGCGCTCAAGCGCCGCTCGAACTTCTTCTTCTTCTTTTGTCGGCGGCGGCGTCGGCGGCGCCTGCTCCCATCCTTCTCCTCTCGCCGCTCTGGCCTCCAGCGATTGGCAGAGCGCTCGGCCCATTTGAGCGGCGCGGTGGGGCACCCGAGTTTGGGAAGTGTGCGCGGGTGGGATTGGAGGGAGGCCGGTGATTGGCAGGGGCCGGGGCCGCGCGATTGGCTCCCATTCAGGCCGGGCGCGCGGCGGGGGACCGCCCTCGCGCGCCCGCCCGAGCCTCCGCAACCCCCTCCCCTCTCCCCCCCCTCTCCCCTCGCCTCCGCGCGCTCCCTTTCGCGCTTCTCTCTCCTCACCACTTCGGGAAAGTTGCACTTCGGAAAAGAGAGAGAGAGAGAAAGAGAAGGAGAAAGTTAGCGCCCCGGGAGAGAGAGAGAGAGGGAGGGAGGGAGGGAGGGAGGGAGGGAAGGATGCGCGAGCCTCGGCGCGGTCACGCGGGGAATGGGAGGAGGAGGAGGAGCCGCGCCTTCCCAGCCACCTGTAGCGCGGGTTGCTTCGCCACAATCCGAAGCCAAGAGAAAGGCCCTTTCTCTTCCTTCACCCTGTCCCCATCCACATTGACCGCTTAATGCGCTTCAGGTTGCAGTGACCAGGCAATAAACTCCCACAAAAAAACGCACAGGAAAGAAAGGAAGCCCTTCCTGCCCATCGGGGAGAGCGTGGATGAGCTCCCTCTGTCAGCTCTAGCTCCCCATGCGGGGACGTAAAAGAATCCTCCCACAAGGATGGTAAAACATCAAAACATCCGGGCAACCCCTAGGCAATGTCCTTGTAGACGGCCAAGTCTCTCACACTAGAAGCGACTTGCAGTTTCTCAAGTTGCTCCTGACACGCCAAAAAAATGCCCATCAGTGCTCTGTGGTCTCTGTCATCACCATCTAGGCCTCCCATCTTCAATACCGGTTTGAAACTGCATGAAATGGTCAATCTAGACGGGACCCTTACTTAAGTGTTTGGTTGTATCTGGACTTCCATATCCTCAGGCTGGATCTACACTACTATGTAATCCAGATTGTCTGCTTTGAACTGGATTATGTGAATCTACACTGCTAGATGATAATCCAGTTGAAAGCAAATAATCTGGGTTTCATATGGCAGTGTAGCTCCAGCCTCAGGTCCCCTGGCCTTAAAATGTCATGATTTGGGGTTTGTTTGGTTTTTTTGTGCCCTCGCGAACGAGAAGGGCGCAAACCTTCCACTCAGAGCAACCCAGTCCCTCCACAGTCATTATTAACCACTCTGTTTCCGGGTTTCTTCCCCTCCGACAGCAAAAAGGATGCTTAAGAGTATCGCCCGAGGCCACCCGTTTAGGATTTGAGGTCCGTTAGCTCAGCATAAAAGGCTGGGCTGCAAAGGCTGAGTCTACGCTGCCATATAATGCGGTTTGAACTGCGTGACCGTTTAGAGTGACCTATATCGTGCAGTTCAAACTGCATCACCTGGCAGCGTAGGTCCAGCCAAAGCCAAGCTCCTAGGCACATTTGACAAGAGGATGCGCCTTGGGATGCACTTTCCTCTTGGGGTTGTTGTAGGTTTTCCGGGCTATATGGCCATGTTCTAGTAGCATTCTCTCCTGACGTTTCGCCTGCATCTATGGCAAGCATCCTCAGAGGGTGTGAGGTGACTTTCCTCTTTATTTCTCCCCTCCCAACCTTGGGACCAAAGGCGGAAATGCTGAGGAGGGGAAATACTTGCTGAAGAAAGAGAAAAGCAGGGAGCAATGTGGTCTGACTCCGGAATAAACGCCTGCGCGAAAGCGGCGCAACAGATGCGCATTCCTCGACCTCCGAATCCTTTCCCTCTGGGCAACGTCCTTGCAGACGGCCAATTCTCTCACACCAGAAGCAACTTGCAGTTTTCCAAGTAGAAACATATATATAACGGCATCAGGTCTCTGCTGCTGTGCCTGGAAGCAGCCTTTCCGAGGTTGTGAGCCTCTCCAAAGCGACGCAGGAGACGTCAGATCCGGTGCTTCGGGTCAGAAACCTCAGAACAGATCAGTCAGCGCTCGCCCCTCTTTTTCCAAACGGATCCTCGGAATAGAAAGTGTGATCTCTCCTCCTTTTCTCTCTCTCGTTAAGCGGAGAAAGAAAAACCCCTTTCGGGGTGGGGATACAGATCTCAGCATCTGAAAGAAACGTGTTGGCTGTTCTGAACTACTTTGAGGAACAGGTGGAGGGCGGCACGCTTGAAATTAGAACCTAAATTAAACGAAATTAAGGCGAAGAAAACGGGTGCATGGTTTTGTGAAAAACGGGGATTATAGAACGAATGGGAAAGGGTATCCCCAGTAATATCAAGGAGGGGGAAGGGAAAAGGTCACTCCTTCGCCTCGTATGAAATTCCTCAACCAAACCGCGCTTAATCTTCAGCCCTGGAGCTGAAACAAGACCTTGGCAGCGTTTGCCATCAAGAAAACGAAGGAGTTCGTTTTCGGAAAGGGCAGCTGCAAAGCTCGGGCGGGGCGGCGCTAGCCTTGGCTTCTCCTTCTTCTTCCACGACGGGAAAGGCAGACTTTTTGGCACAAGGGCTCTTCAGTAGTTTTGCGCCTAATTTGAAACAGACTGGAGAAGGGGAAAGGCTCCCTCCTTCTTTCTGTCTATCTAGGTATCGTTAAAAAGCACCAAGACGTGTGTCTACTTCTTAACCTAGTACCTGAAACCGCAAAAGCGTTGAGAGACAATGTATTGTCGAAGGCTTTCATGGCTGGAATCACGGGGTTGCTGTAGGTTTTTCTGGCTATATGGCCATGTTCTAGAAGCATTTTATCCTGACGCTTCGCCTGCATCTATGGAAAGCATCCTCAGAGGCTGTGAGGCTGTGAGAGACACTTCAACCTGTTAGGGAGCCCTTGAAAAACGCAGCTAAACAAACCCATAAGTAGTGAGCGATTATGTTTATTTATACCCCATTTTCCGTTAAACAAGAAAACTCAAAGCAATGCAAGTTTAGGCTCCATGTACACTGTGCTATAAAATCCACGTTTTCTGTTTTAAACCGAATTAGATGAGTCTACACTGCCATATAATCCGGTTCAAAGCAGATAATCTGGATTTTATATAGTGTAGATGGGGCTTAAATGTTGGACGTTAGGGGATCATTTGCACTGTGGAATTGGTGCGGTTTGACAACTCTTCAGCTGCTTTGGCTCAATGCTATATGCATTCCTGGGAGTTGTAGTTTCGTGAGGCATCAGCACTCTGCCAGAGAGGGCTTCAGACTTGGGGAAACTTCCATGGTTCCATAAAACAGAGCCATGGCTCTTAAAGGCCATTAATATCTCCCAAAGCCCCTCCTACACTGCCCTGTATCCCAGGATCTGAGCTGCTTTAAACTGGATTATATTCAGTTATTATATATATATATATATATATATACACACACACACACACACACACACACACACACACACATTCTTCACTGCCAGATAACTTGGGATAAGCACATAATATGGCATCAGATCCTATCCTGGGATATAGGGGCAGTGTGGAAGGGGCCCCAGGCAGGGCCTTGGGCAAATCACCTTCTCTTAGCCATAGGAAGAGGAGATGGCCAAGTATCAATGGACATATTACACCAGGGGTCCACAAACTTTTTAAACAGAGGGCCAGGTCACAGTCCCTCAAACTGCTGGAGAGCCAGATTATAATTTGAAAAAAATACGTATGAATTCCTATGCACACTGCACATATCTTATTTGTAATGCAAAAAACACTTTAAAACAATACAGTAATTAAAATTAAGATCAATTTTAACAAATATAAACTTATTAGTATTTCAATGGGAAGTGTGGGCCTGCTTTTGGTTGATGAGATAGGATTGTTGTTGTGTGCTTTCAAGTCGTTTCAGACTTAGGTTGACCCTGAGTGGGGGCCGGGTAAATGACCTTGGAAGGCCGTATCCGGGCCCCGGACCTTAGTTTGAGGACCCGTACATTAGACAGAAAAACTCTAGGTCGCCCTACATCAGAGCTGACTTCAAAACCAATCCAGAAGTTCAATCAGGTTCCCGTCAGTGCTACATCCTGCTGCCAGATCCTCTTTCCTGACAGCACAGTTCTGCCCAGATTGACCCAAGAGGAAGCCCCTACATTGCTCAACAGACTGGGGCCAGATTTAGGGCTACACTGAAATGGTTCAATGCTATAGAGTCCTAGTATGTGCCGTTTGGTGAGGCACCAGCCCGCTTAGGCAGAGAAGGCGAAGAAAGGCTTTGCAAAACTACAACTCTCAGGATTCCATCACAGTGAAGTGCTGTCAAACTGCATTAACTGTACAATGTAGACGCACCCTTAGTCGTTCTTTCATCAGACGCACTAAAACCAATAGGATTTGGAATAGTGATGGCTGATCCTAAAGACGTTAGTGACTAAAGCCCCTTCTACACTGCCATGTAATCCAGGGTCCTTCCACACAGCCCTATATACCAGAATATCAAGACAAAATCACACAATATCTACTTTGAACTGGGTTATCTGAGTCCACACTGCCATATAAAGCAGATAATGTGGGATTTTATTCAACTGTGTAGGGGCCCCAGATTATTAAAGCAGAGAACTCACATTGTCTGCTTTCAACTGGATTATATGAGTCAACACTGCCATATAATCCAGTTCAAAGCAAATATTCTGGATTTTTATATGGCAGTGTAGAAAGGGCCTTAGTTGCTAAGGACTGAAGTTTCCATGGAGCCCTTTCGGATGCAAGGAATTATTTTATTTTGCTTCAGAAACCCAAACAAGCCTCTGCTGACCGAGGACGCCAATATCTGTGGTCTTTGATGGTAGTGGTTTAAAGAAGCCCCGACCTTGGTCGTTTTCGAGTGAAATACAAACAGAATTCGGTTTTTTGTTTGTAAAGGAGGCAGAAAGCACCTTCAAGTTTTAATTGAATGCCCGAGTTTAGTATAGGGGCTCCACACTGTTGTAGCTAGAAGATACCTTGCCTCCGTCTTGAGCCCTTGTGAAGCCCAGCGGGATATGGATCTGCCATCGATTCAGTACGTCCTGATTCAAATCTATCGCCCTGATCAATTCCCTCGCTTATGAAAACTGTAAACCAACTGATTTTTTTTAAAAAAATAAAAGTAATAATTTACATAAGTGTCGGCTCACGACAGTAAACATCACATTACAGAAGGGATGGGGTTGCTCGATTTTATTAGAGGCC